ACTAACAATTATATATATATTTTTTATTTTATCCCCAAACCGGGTATGGCATGGAAACTTTTCTTTTCTTTTTTTCTTTTTGGTCAAAGTTATAGAAACTTATTTTATGTACATATCGTATTGCAATACTCCTAAAAACGTTAAACCTCCTGAAAATTGTTTTTTAAGTAAAATATTCTTACCATTCTTCTATTTTTTTCTTAATTACACAGCCTTTCTCTCTATTTTAAAAACATACAATCTAATTCAAACTGTTGACTCCATTAAAAATATTTTAAAAATATAAAAAATTAATTTTAAATTAAAATTTATTTAAAAATAAATTTTATTTAATAATTTATCCCTCATCCTAATAAATCATAAATTATATTATTTTAATAGTTATATAATTTGATTGTAAAAACACGTTTACAAATTTTTAAATTTTAAATTTAAAGTATTTATATAATCTCTCAAACTTATATCATTTCATTTTATATGATGAAAAAAATATGTGTTTCAAATATGCTTTTAGCAAATTTAAAAAACATAAATAAAGTTTCAATAAATTTAAAAAAATTGAAATTTTATAATATGATAAATTAATAAATTTAATAATATAATAAAAATTTCAAAATTTACATTTTTTTATATTTTTTAGTTGTATATAAAAATATTTTTTGGAAAATATATATTTTTAGATAATTCTTATAGTAAAGAGAGATATTTTGGCTAAATTAAAAGCTTAAAAGTCAAACTTAACAGTTAACTAATGGTTGGATGAATGAAAATTAAATCTCAAATATATAAGAGAGGTTTACGTAACATATATTTTAATTTTAAAGGAGGTTTATATGAGCTTTTAAAATAAAGGGGAGATTTGTATAATTAAAGCACAGTAGAAGGGTAATCAATGTATTTTACTTTTATTTTAATAATTAAATTAAAACAGAAGGATGCTGTGAATTAATTACTCCGTTCACCCCATTTTGAGAGAATTTTTTTTTTTGGGATAACATTATGAATACCAATAAATCAATTAAATAAGGGCTGAAATATTAATTTCTTCAAAAAGAAATATAAATTTTTAAAAATATTATTCATTTAAAAAATTTAATATATTTAAATAGTGAAATAATAAGAATTAATTTTAGAACAAGTTTCATTAATAAATAATTATTTTTTCAAAATATATTATATTATAAAACATCAAATCAAATTTCTTTAAAAAACATATTATAAAACGTGACAGAAAAGTAATTGTTAAATGCAACAAAACATGTTTAAGCTACGTGATGCCGATTTAATAATAGCTAAGTTCTTAACCACAACAATTGATTCATTCACCTAAAACCACTTCAATCGCTCTAACTCCAAACCAATTTGCAAGAAACAAGTGGTAGTTTTTTTTTTTTGGGGGCCAAAACAAGTAATAGACTTGGATATATTTCATTGGTGAAAAAATTTAAAACATTTTTAATTAAATTTTATTTTTAATACTTTAGTTAATTATTCTTCAACTAATATCATCTTTTTATATTTATCCTTATTTAATAGAACGTTTTATTTAAAATGAAATATAAAATTTTTTATTTATTAATGATATTTAAAAAAATACATTAATTACACTTTAAAATACTAAAAATATTTTACATTTTTTAATATTAAGCCCTTAAAAAATTCTTTATATTTTTTAATGAAGGGAGTAGAATTTGTTATCATATTTTTTTTGAGGTATGCTTTAATTTGAATATAACATATTTAATCCACTGTTAATTTATCTAGGAAATACATGTTTTTAGTTTCAAAATTTCATTCATATACTTGATTTCTACTGTTTGTTAAATTTTTTAATTAATCACAAGTATCAAAATCTAGTGAATACTTTTTTAATATTAATCTAGATTATGCCCCATCTCTATGAAGTTGGAGAAGGGTTGCATTACATTGTTTATATAAATTAAATAATGAGGCTTCTTTCACATGTGGAGAGGATATATAAATATAGATTTTGTTGAGATAACTATATATTATCTTAGTACTAATTAGTATGCATGCGCTGTTTTATTAATTATAACAACAAAAATGATAAAATAATACTCTATCCGTTAAAAAATATAAGGCATTTTTAATAGAATCTCACCCGAATAAAATAGTTATCTACTTTCAAACTAATCTTATCTTTTTCATATTTATCCTTATTAAATACCTTATAATAAATATAAAATCATTATCAATAGGGATACTTTAAAAAAAAAGACAATAATTACACCTCGAAAGATTAAAAATGCCTTATATTTTTTAACATTCAATTCCTCAAAAAATGCCTTATGTTTTTGAACGGAGGGAGTATGTTATTGTAAAATGATACTCCACCATCCTAGTTTATAAAAATATTTTTGAAAAAAATTACACATATCAATAATGTTCATCAAATACGCTTTACAATTTTATTTTTTTAAAAGTATAAATATAAGTCTTTAAAATACCCTTAATTTAATATAAATTTATTTGTAAAATATTAATTAGAGTAAGAAAATATAATAAGGAGAGAATGCTAACTTCGGCACAAATATAATAAAATTTAAGTTTTATCAAAGTATTTTATATCTTATAATACTGAATCACCTCAAAAAATATATATTTTATAAACTGGGATGGAGAGAGTAGCTCTTAATTGCAGATTTGACATGATTCACCTAAAGCCACCTCCATCATATTTATTAACTATTAATTTGATCAAAATAATGCACTCTTAATTTAATTTTTAAGAAAAATCATGTTTTTAGTTTCTATAATTTTTCATTCAATCTATGGTTTGATTTTTATAGTTTAAAAATGCATAGTTGAATCTTTATGATTATTATGGTTAATTTGACTAAAAACATGGACTTCGAAAGAACAAGTTAAAAATAAGGTTTTATTTCTTTTATCAAAATATAATATTAGTTAATGGTTATTGTCAAACTTTCAAGTTAACTTTAAGAGTTTGTGGGCCTACTTGGTAATTTATTTTGAGAATAATTTTTTATTTTGCAGAATAAAAAAAATAAAAAATTGATTTGATAACATGTTTTTAAAAAATATTTTGAAAAATAAAAATAAAATATTGTTACGAAAAATAGAAAAACAAAAACATTTTTAGATATTTTGGGATTATTGTTTCAAAGAATAAGAAAGAATGAAAAAAACATATATTTTTATTACTATTTTATTTTTAGAATATGCTCTACAAAGTATCAGTTCTCAGAATAATAAAATAGGAACATATCATTTTTACATTTCTAACTTATAAAATTATGTTAATTTATTTATAAGTTTAAATTAGATAAAACTCGATTATACTCATGAGTTGACTTTTTAAGTTTACTATTTTTATATTTCTATTTTATAAAATTGTGCCAATTTATTTATAAACTTGTTGAGTAAGATCTGTATATATTGTGTAGAACTTAATTAATAGAAGTGGTAGAATCCGGTGCAAAAAAAATAAAACTAAAAAAACAAATAGTAATAAAAAAGAAAAAATACCAAAAATAAGTTGCTCTATTTAAAAAAAATTTATATTGAGTATAATAATATATAAATATAGATGGATTTAATGTCAATAATTTATACTTGAAATATATTTAAATTAAATTATAGTTACATTTTATATTTTAATTATTTAATCATGTACTTTAAAATGTTATTTATGAATAGACATAAACTCAAGAGTTTATGATCTAAATTTATATTTTAAATTTATATATTTATCATAAATTTATTTAAATTTATGAGTTTAACAATCTTGAATCTAGCCATTTAAAATATTGAATTGAATAAATAATATTTACCGAATTATTAATTTGCACATAGGATCCCTTCCCTATGGCATTTTAAGATTTCAAGTGGGCTTTAGTGCGAGCCTTGTTTGCTGCAAGAAAACCCAACGCTTATTTTAAATTGTTTTCTTTACACTATTGTTGTGCATTGTCATTAATTAATAGATGGGCCAAAAAGGAAATACATTAATACAAGGAGGAAAAAATAAAAATAATGGAGAATATAAACTTTAAAATAATAAAATTGTTTTTATGCCACTGTAATTCTTTTCTATATTTATATATTAATAAAATGAATAAAATGTAAAACGTAAAACGTAAAACATGTCATATTAATAATAGGAGCAACTTTTTTAGGAAATTATGTGTTATTTAGAAATACGAAAAGTAAAGAACATGATTTAATATTTCTTTTTTAAAACTAAATATTAAACATTAGTTTCTTCATTTAGTATTATAAGACATTTTTCTCTGAAGTATCATTTTAAAATTATGATATGTTTTGTGTCTTTTGTAATTACTTTGTTTTTAAGATTCTGTTAGTTATTTTTTGCCAAATTTAAATCCTCTTAATTAGGAGTATAATTAATGAATTTTTTTAAATAAAATAATTTAAATAAGAATGAACATGAAAAAAAAGTGTGCACTATCTTATTAAAAATATAAATTTATAAAATGCTGTATAATTTTAAAATGTGGGGATATATTTTAAATCAATATTTATTTTTTTAAGGAAGAGGAGAAAGAATGACAGTTAGATCTTAAAGGAATGAATTAATGATAGTTAGATTCCTAAATAAAATTTTTTATAAAATCAATTATAAATATCAATTTAAATAGTTATAATAAAATTTTTTATTATAATTTAACAATTATATTTGATATTTAAATATTTATTTATAATTAAAAATTTTTACTCTGCAATAATTTGAACCAATATTTTGATTTATTTTTTAAAAAATTCATCAGAGGCTCATCTGCCATTAACCTTTTGTCTCAAAAATAATTATGTGCGAAGTCAAGGGATACTTGGACAGTGACGCCGTTAAATGAAACCGTCAAGTTAACGGAAGCAACGGCCATCCTCCGTACAGGTCATGTAACGGAGAAATGGACGTTACCTTCCATGAGAAAGAATCACCTGAGTCAAGAGAAGTCAAAGACACAGATACCCTCCGTCTCGTTGCTTTAAAGCAATCTCTCTCTCTCTCTCTCTCTCTCTCTCTCTCATCTCTGCCGCTTCGCGAAATCCTAAGCACGTTTGCGTTTGTTTCAGACACTATAAAAGGGAACTTCACTATTCCTTACTTTACTCTCCGCTGGAGGACCATCCATGGCTGACCGTGAGAGCTCCGGAGCTCTCATGGACGATAATTCTGAACACCCAGAAAGCAACGAATCAACAGCAGCAGTAGAAGAAGAGCAAGAAAAGGGAGAGGAACGAAATCGAGTCTTTGAAGCACGGCTTAGCGAGTGGCATCAAGGCAAGTTGCAGAGTTCTGAACCTTCCCAGGAAGCAGAGCCTAATTTGGAAACCCTAGCTGTGCCCACTTCGCTTGAAACCGACGAGAAAGATCAGAGTGCCGGTGAGCTTGAGTGTTGACAGTTGTCCTTTTTGCTGAAATCAGAAAGTTTTTTACTTTAGTTTTTTTTTTTTTTTTGCCTTTTTCCATTTTTAATGGCTTTTCGAGTTGGTAATGAGTTGCGTGGTTTGTCCTGCAGATTTGCAGGCGAGCTCTGGTACGCAGGAGGCTTTGGAAGGCGAAAAGAAGGTTAGAACGTTTATACTTGGGCAATTTTGAGTTATATATAAATATCATAGCTAGTTTGGTGTCATCGTTTAAATTGTGTGAGTTTCGTGTCTTTCTGCTTGAAGTTTTGAACTCTGCTTGTCCAGAAGTGAGTTCATAGTTTAAGGTCCAATTAGAAAACCTGTCTTGAATGTTCGCTGGCAAGATTTCTAGATGAGAGCAAATGCATGAAGCTGCGAATGTGATGCGATATTTATTCTGTTTGGTTTGTTCGCCCTTCTAGAATTCTTTAGTAGAAAGAGATTCTAGAAATCGTACTAAATAGGGAATTAGTATGTGCTTAATTGAAGAAATCTTCTCGTCTAATGGCTTCCTGTGTGTTGGTTCACGGAACTTTGGTATATTCCTCTGTTTTAAACACACAAGCTTTTGTAGGGATGTACAGTTCAGGACCCGTGAATGGCTTTAAAGTCTTTAGCTATCAAAATAAGGCGTCGGTATTCATCCTTTTCTTAACTTGTTTTTCCTTTTTTTAGATTGACGAGATTGATGTTGTAAATGTGCAGTTTCAGTCTGTGAACTAAACAGATAAACTAGAATAAAACTATTGAAGGATCACTTAAGTGTAACCACTGGGTTAAGACTTGGAAAAGCTGTCTTCTGAAAAAATCATTGTTAGCCTTTTCATGCATTACCTTTTCTTTCTCTGGTTTGATACCATTTTGGTTGCTTATTTTTTAAAATTTAGTCAGTGTGTGTGTTACAATTTGGTCCCTTAACTTTCAATCTGTTTCAGATTCATTCCTTAATTTTATTGTTTAAAAATGGCCCCTTAACTTTTTTTTCTTAGTAATTCAAAATGAACTCTCATCCCTTATTTTTCTTTAGTGTTCCAAATTTTGAAGGAAAAATTGAAAGTTAAGGGACTGATAATGATGGTTACGCCATCCTACAACAACTGCCTGGTTTTATCTGTTCACAATGAAAGCAGATGCGTAGAAGCTTACCATAAGCTTGAAAAAAAGTCCAAATCAGCCCTCTGGGAAAACTGTTTTGCAGACTCTAAAATGATGAAGTGGTTATAAAAAAACTCTAGAGAAGAAAACAAAGACCAATTGAAAGTTATTTGTTGCATATTAGATGAAAATGGATCTATTGCACTTGTCCTTTTCATAAGAGATGGTCCATGTCTCTGGTGCTTACTTGGAGCTGTCTATGAACTGCTTGCTTCATTTATTTGTGCTGGCGAAAGTCAGACTTGAATCTTTCTGACTTCTTAATGATGTTGGCAGGGTTTTTAAAATACTTCCCCTATTGATTTAGGCATGTGGCTAACATGGCATAAATACACTTCCATTATGTTATTTTATGTACTGATAAAGCGTCTATCTGAGGTTCATTTAGTAGTCAGAAATATGTTGTTTCTTAAGAATCAATATGCTTAATTTGGGTACATCTTAAGTCAGTCAACATGCATTCATGATGGGTCCAGGCTTGTACTTTGGTTTCTGCATTGGTTTATGAACATTTCAGTCTATCAATGATGATTCCAAACTGCAACCTACTTAACTGTTCTTAAATGAACTGGGTCTAACCTAAAAGAACAAAATATCTGTATTACTATTTTGAGTCAAGCATTAGAAAGCTACCTGCTCACTTATTTATTGAGGTATAAAAATAGGCCTTTTCATGAGCTAACCTTTCTCAGGAGCCAGTTGGATCTTCTGGCAAGGAACTTACGAAAAGAGAAGCAGTCCAGACAACTCAAACTCAGATAGAAAGTCAACTTCAGGTGTCAGTGTGTTCAAGTGCATTGTCTGAATTGTCTCCAACATCTGTAACACAATCTTTATCATCTGCTCCTAGTCCAGCTGTACCAGAACAAAGAAAGTCTTCTTCAAAGGTTAACAAGGTAAATGTGCTGGAAGTAGACCAGAAAAAGCCTGCTCACCGTAATACCTTATCTCTTCTTTCTATTGTGAGGACATCCACATCTGATGGATACAACTGGCGTAAGTATGGCCAGAAGCAAGTTAAAAGTCCTACAGGGTCTCGAAGTTATTACAGGTGTACTCATTCAGAATGTTGTGCAAAGAAGATTGAGTGCTGTGACCATTCAGGCCATGTAGTAGAGGTTGTATATAAAAGTCAACACAGCCATGATCCACCGCAAAAGACTAACTCTGGTAGAGAAAGTAAGTTTGCACCATCCAAACGGCCTAATCTAGAGAACATTGTTCTTGAGAATCCCATCAGAGTGCTTAATGATTCAAATCCGTGCCCTTCTTCAAAGGAACCTCCACAAGAAGCACCATGCAGTGCTGATAGGAAAAGACAAAACTCATCTGATCAAAGTGAGAATGGTAAAGCTGCCTTGAAGGATGAGCATGCTATTGTGACAGAGCCCAAAAAAAGGTGAGTTGTTGCAAAGATTTATTTTCCTTGAAGACAAAAATTAATGCATAATATCCTTTTCTTTTCATTTTGGAAGAATTCATTATCTCTGAAGACAAAAATTAATGCATAGATTTATTTTCTCTGAAAACAAAAATTAATGCATAATATATTGTTCTTTTCATTTTGGAAGGATTCATTAGCATGTGGTCTAATTCTCTTCAAATTTGATAATCAGAGTGAAAAAAGGTGACTATACGTGCTTGGATTCTCCAGTAAAACCTGGAAAGAAACAGAAGTTTGTTGTACATGCAGCAGGGGATGTGGGGATATCGGGTGATGGATATCGATGGCGCAAGTATGGGCAGAAAATGGTGAAGGGAAACCCTCATCCAAGGTGCATTCCTAAATCTTTCTGGCTTTCTTCACCTTGCTTGCACGAGTGTGTCAATTTTGGATGCTTATAAAATTGATTATTTTTGGGACCATGAGTTGGCTATCATCTACTAGTCAACTTATGTTAAAACTGAATTAATACTCATCGTCAATTAAGATTGACAAATCCATTCCTCTAATTTTCTGTTTCCAAAATTTGTTGCAGCTTCCACTAACTAATGGCAATGCTGGAAAAGGGAATATATATATATATATATATAGTTAAATCCCAAGCTGGTGGCTCATATGAAGTTTTTTTTTTTTTTATTTTCTTATTTCTTTCAGTAGAAAAGTTAAAATTAGTGGCAGATAGATTGGTAAAAGATTAGATGATAATAGATATCGAGCTGAAAATGTCACTAGTTCTTCAATATGACCCAAAGCTTGACAGTATCAAAGCAGAGTCTCAAATGTGAATGGCAGAGTAAATTGAGTCTTTCTTCATACGAAAACCTATGGTTGCCATGGTTCCATGGTGCAATGATAAGAACCATTTTATTTCTTCAATATGAAGAATTATTAGGGAATTGATTCTAAATGAATGTACTGGGATAGGATTTCAGTCCCCAGACCTGTGTCATCTTTAATGTAATTGGCCTATAGCATATCCTTATTTACCAGAGAAAAGTCACTACTCAGTTAGGTAAAACCTCTCTGCATGGTCCAAGCCATAAATGTTTTCTATTTTTGCTGATTTTTTTCCTCTTTATCTAGTGATGCATTGTTTTCCTCAATTTTTTTTTTCTCCTTAGGATTCAAATGCAGTTTCTAGTATGCAAATGAAGTGTCAGTATATCCCATAGCTTGCTTTATGCATCCAGGCTTTTCAATGAGGTTTATTTGGAAAACAATTGGTTGAGTATTGGTAATCCAGCAAATGTTGAGAATTCAAAGCATGTGAATTATTGTGTTCATGTTCACCCTTTTTAGCGTTGTTCCAGGAATGATATGTTATGACAATTTTGATGTTGAGGAAGTTCAAGTACGATGGACTGTATAACTTTTTGTAGTCTAGAGCTTTGACTTCTCTTTGTAAGGGCTTAAAGGAATTGTTACGGTGGCAAAATATAATATATATATATATATATATAGTGATTATTATTTAAGATGGTTTGGACATGTACAAAAAAGATTATGGGAAACACTTGTGTGGAAAGTAGAACATTTAACTTTGAGCCCTGTCAAAAGGGATAAAGGAAGGCCAAAGAGAATGTTTTTGAAAGTTGTTGATGGAGACTTTTTAATTAATAATATTTTTAAAAGTTTAAGAAATGATATAGCACAATGGGATCATATAATCCATATAGCCAACCTTACCTAGTGGAATAAAGCTTCTTCTTGTTGTTGTATAATGATTATTATTATTGGATAGGATTAGTTTTAGGGATGACTCATCAATTTTTGTAGTGGGCTTTCCACATTGGCGGATTGGAGCTTAGGAATATTCTAGGCTAAGGTTTTATTATCTATATATGGTTGTTACAGTGTTTCAGAGTCTGCGTGGAGAAATCAATTTTAAGAACTTGAGTTCTATATTTTCTTGCGTGCCAGGAACATAATGAAAAACAGACATCTTTAGACTCGCCTTGGCTATTTAATATGTTCCAGTATAAAGTTCTAGGGTTTTAGGTTCCATGTGATCATTGCAACTGTTTTAGTTTTAAGGCGGTCTCTCTAGCTTTGCTTGAAACTTCAAACATGTTGGCGGTTGCACCCAAAGAGATATGATAAAATAGTGAGAGTTAACGGCTGGGGCATATATGTCTTGTGATTTCCATTAATAAAAAAAAACTTTTGACTGTTGAATGTATGCTACCTGCGGCCCGATTTAACTATAAGTTGTTTCTTATGAATAGGTTTGAAGGTAGTAGTAATTATATCTTATGGTGTACTTAGATTGTACTTGTCCTTCATATTTGTGGCTTTTGAAGGCCTACATGCTATAAGAGGAATAACATGGAGATGGATATGTGGGATGCAAATAAGTAGCACATCTATGATGTGTTGTGCCTCTTCCCCTTATTTCATTCTGGCCTATGATTGTCTTCCATTTCTTCTGATGAACAGTTTGAATTTTCAGAAACTACTACAGATGCACTTCTGCTGGATGTCCGGTCCGTAAACACATCGAGACTGCCGTAGATAACTCTAATGCTGTAATCATTACATACAAGGGAGTTCATGATCATGACATGCCGGTGCCTAAGAAACGGCATGGCCCGCCGAGTGCTCCTCTCGTGGCTGCAGCAGCACCTGCTTCAATGAACAATTCACAACAGTTAAAGAAAATAGACAAACTGCAGAAGCAAAAATCTTCTACGCAGTGGTCGGTGGACACTGAAGGCGAATTAACCGGGGAAGCCTTGGAACTTGGGGGTGAGAAAGCAATGGAATCAGCTCGAACTCTCTTGAGCATCGGTTTTGAAATAAAGCCTTGCTGAAAGATCTCCCAGAAAAACCTGCAGTTGTATCTGTATAAATTAATTGGCGGGTATTGTGTAATTTTTTTTTTTTCACTTACTAAATTTTTTTCCCTTTAGTTTTCTTTCCACGTAGTGTTTCAGTGGAACAATTTGTTAATATTTTGGTTGTACAACCTTCCAAGTTGGCTAAAAGTGTTTGGTAGCGTTGTAATGAAAATAGGGCTGATTGACATCCCCTTTATTCCGATTGATGGCAGCAATTACTCAAAACATTCTGATAAAGTTTGGTGGATGAGCTTACTTAGGATTTCAAAGTTGTCTTGCTCCACTTGGTTCAACCTGCAAGGTGTAGGTATGAACGTTTGCATTAGTTCAACTTTTTTTCCTTTAGGATTTTTTGCACTTACGAGAATTAGTGGTGTGCACGAGATTGGGATGACTCTATCCCATGTCCTGTCCTGAAATGGGCTGGCTGGGATTAAATTTTTCTCTCATGTCTTATCTTGTTTGGGATTGGAATGGGACAAGAGGTGATGGGACTGACAAATCTAAGTAAATGAGATAGAGCTGAAAAAGAAAAGATATGAAAAAGTAAGAATTAAGCAATTAGTTTCTGTGATAATATCCACATATTTAAATTGAGTAATCAAGTGTATTTGTTCTGTTGTTTACATTATTTGTTTTGAGGATTAATGATCAAATAAGGTTTTTAACTTTTACTTGAAAATTGTCTTGAATATAAAACTCTTAAAATATATAAAATAAACTTTAAACGTTTAAAGTCATAATAAAATAAACTTTGACCATTAATTTTTTTAATATTATGATTGTCCATGCAGATACTGTAACACTTAGAGTTAAATTTGTAGAAAAACAAATTTTAAATAGTATTTGTGTGAACAGTAATAGTGTTAAAAAGTTAACGGTCAAAATTTATTTTAATATGAATTTAAAAGTTTAAAATTTATTTTGTATATTTTAAAAGTTCAGGATTCTTAATGATTTTCAAGCAATATTTTAAAATCCTATTTACTCATTAACCCTTGTTTTAAAGTATCAGCATTTAGTAATCTCGTCAAAATGTAAAATAATAAGAAATCTTGTGAATTTAATATAAAATATATCATGTTGTAAGCTTAAAATATTCTCATAAAAAATTAATATATTGTTTTAAATTACAAATTAAAGTGCACTAGACATAGTACTAAAATAGCAAACTTGAAATTCTTATAAAGGGAGTAATAAAACTAACATGATCACAATAAACCAAATATATAACTTATCTCCAGCATAATATTTATCAAACCACATTTAAGTTCAAAACAATACAAGTAAATCATAATTTACAAGGAGAGAATGATAAATAAGTCTCAAGGGATTAATTAATTTAACTTAAGTCTCAAGCGTTAAATTATAGGAATTTGTAATTTGGTTCTCAATTTTATAATTTTGTTGTGATGAATTTATAACTTATGTTTTAAATTTTAACATGAAAAATAAATTTGTTTACTTTTTAAATATATTAAAATTTAAAAAATCAGTTATAAATTCATCACAATAAAATTATAAAATTAAGGTTGAACTTATAAATTCAAATTTAACATTTGAAACTTAAGTTAAATTAATTAATTTTTTTAGAACTTCTCTATCATTTTTGCATTTACAAGTGATGAAATGTTAGAAAGGTGAATTTCAAGAAAAAAATTAAAATGCATCTATCATATAAAATTAATAAAATAATACATGTATATTGGGGACAAGATAAGATGTTTCAATGCCCAAATCATGTCCCGTTTTGTCTCAAATATTTTTCAGACCAAACTTAACTCGTCTTGGCATGGTTAAGATGAAGATGAGTAAGTTGAGATTGAGATTGAGATTTCATGAACATCCCTGACATAAGATAGGAGAGATAGTCATACAAATGAGACGTTGTGTATGTTCTTTTTTCCCCTTTATTTTTGTATCTATCAATAGATAACATAAATTCTATACAAAGTATTTTTTATAACCTATGAATAGTGTAGTTTATGAGTTTACTTTTGGGTCTACAACTGTTTGGTTATTATAATTTCTTTCCTCTATTCTTTTCTTCAATTATATTCTATGTATATATCCTTTGAAATGATTTAATATATTTAAAATTGTAATTTTTGTTCTTATAGCAAAAGATAAATTTATTTTCAATAGCATTGAGAATATTTTCTGAACGAATATGATAATTTCTATTCGACTTTTGGAGTCAGTCTTAACAAGAATATTACTCGGGCATTTGATCACGGGAAATGATGGGAAGAATTTTATCTAAGGATCATGAATGTGACATATTTTCAAATTATCACCAAAATATTTTGAAATCTCACTACAACATGTTGGGCCTGAATTAAAATAAAATTACTATAAAACAAAATGAGAGAAATATCATTTTTCAGTATGCTACAATGTAATAAGTAACATAAGAAAATTTATGAATGAAGTAAAATATTTAATAAGTAATGTAATTGATTAATTATAAAAGTCCACGTGATGATTTAAATCATGGACAAAAGAGTAAAAATACTTATGAATTCATTAGCTAAAAGTATTTAGTAACATAAAGTGAAAAAAATGATAAGATATCCATAATATTACTTAAGTTGGTTCAAGATTGACTAATTTATTAAATCCCCAAATGTTAACCCTCTATGATCATTATATGCTCCTCTTTTTCCCACATATTTATATTTGGAACCGATTGACCTTCTCATGTTTCAGACATGTCTCATTTTTTTTTAATAATCATTGGAGCATCTTCAGTTGGAATATGAGATTTAATAATTTTCATTTAGATCAACAATGGCATCTAGCTGATATTTTGCAATATTTTATGAATACATTTGATGAATTTTGTATTCATATTGTTGTTTGAGAGGATCTATAAAATAATGATAATACATTTCATATATTTTTTTTCGACTATCTTTTTCTTCCCTTCATGTTGAAAAAACTTGGTTAATTGATAACAAACTCTCATATAGACATGTCTCTTAATTCTATTTATTTCCTTTAGAAATCTTTTGTTTCATTTAGAGACAAACAAGGCGTACTCATCCTTGTGCAGTATGGTGAGACAATAAGAATAAACATTAGACATTCAATAATTTTAACATAAAAAATATATCTGGCTCTTGGCCAAAGGTGAATTTTAGTATGAGAAGTTTTTTAACTTAATATATGTATAAGTGTAGCAATACATAAGATCACATATGTCAACACTAAAATGGAAAGTTTGTTCTTATAAGTATTAATTTTGTTCTTATAAGTATTAATCTAGCTTCTTTTGAAGGCTTTGATAAATAATTGTGCTAGATCATTAATTTAAAATTAGGCCTTTTAACTAGTTTTTTTGATAAACATATGATAATTGTTGAAAGCTTGAGACATAATTTCACTAGAATTTTCAATATGAAATGCCTTGATCACATATTCTAAAAATTTGTATTCAATATAATGCTTTATTCAAACAATTTTACAAGTTTCAAGTTGCAAATTAGAAATAGTAATACCTCAAACCATCTTAGAAATGTATCTGACAAAATTTATCAAATACTAATTATCCATATAGATTTAATATATTTTTAGAAATGCAAAGATTTATATTCCAAATCATAACTAGTAATTTTCTTATCATCAACTCTTTGACAACAAGTAGCATGTACTAATTATCAAATTACATAATATGTATGTTGGCTATTCATGAAGAATCTCTTAGTTCTTCAATTAGTATCAACATATGTTTTCAATAATTCTTTTTATCATATGTATGATCCAAAATAAATAAAAAATTATGCCCAAAATATATTTTTTTCAATCAACAAACTTCTAGTTTATTGTAACATTTTTTTAACCAATAGTAAAATTTTTAATTCTCTAATCCGATTTATAATCTCAAAATAATATTAATTTAGGATATCTATTATGCTTTAAGAAAAAATATATAAATAAATAAGTGAAACTTTATCCAACATTAACAAACACTTGTATTCCAATAATGTCTTTCTCACATGTGAATTATGCAAACAGACTTCCCTTATTTCTATCCTTCCCAAATTTCAAAGACAACTAGCATATAGCCAAAAGATAATATGCTTTTCACTTGGATGCCCAAGTACTTTTCAATTAATAGACAACCATTTAATTAAGCTATTATTTTCATACCTTTGGCAAAATGAAGCTATAATTTAGATATATCGATCATATTTTTCACTTCTAATCATATTTTTATCCAAAAAAAAATCTTCATTAATTCTTCAAGAACTACCATGTATCGATGGCTAACACACATAAGCAAACACATAAATATATGTTCTCATTATTCACTAATAACACATTCAATTTAATTTACTTTCTTTTTTGCATTCAAGGTATGAATATGAAATGATTCAATTTTTTTTTTCGTCACATATTTTTTTTAAAAATTTCCTTATCCAAAATATAATTAATATTCCTTATAATACACACACACAAGATCTATTTCTTGAACTAACGAAGAAATTTATAGGAGCATGTAAAAAAATTCCATAAAGACTATATATAAAGATTAAAGTTCAATACTTTATAATTAATTTATGATGTGTAAGGGTTAGAGTGAAATGAAGAATAACATCCAACATATTATGAATATTATAATATAAAATAAATTAAATTATCCAAACTATTTAAACATTCTTGAATTTAACTTACAATACCCACATAGTTTCACAATATCACAAAAATAATTTTGTCCATCAACATCAACTATCACCTACTCATAATAAACTTTCTCAAAAAATTAAACAATTTCTCATTTTATATTTTCCCTCAAGTATCACGTACAACAAGTTTAATTCCTCGAATATACATGTATACTATTATGATAAATGTTTAAAATTCATGAAATTAATATTTAATTTCCATGGAATATCATCATATTTAATTTTCATATTTTTAAATTTGAAAATAAATTGACACAATATATTAATATCTTGATATGATCAATAATGATATGACTACTAATTGCTTTTTTTAGTCTATTTAATTTTATGCCACACTTGGTTTATATTTTCTTCAATATCTCATAATTTTTTTTAGTTTCATAACTTCTTTGGCATTTACTTTTAATAAAATTGTTACCCATTTGCTTAAATGGCTTCACATCATGTTGAAACTATTGATCAAAATTTTAATAACGACGGCAGAATATCATTATTTTAATATACATGGCAAA